AGTAGTAGTAGTAGTAGTGGTGACTGGGCCCACTCGGCGCCCCGACTGATTCCTGTCTTTTGATCTCGGATGTTCGATTATGCCTTCATCTTTCTTCCGGAGGGTTGGGGGGGGCTTAATGACGTGCTTGGCCCCCCCTGACCTAAAGAAGCTCGAACACGAAAACACAGCTCACACGTTGGGCTTCTGTCGCGGGCCGCGGACTACAAAAGATTTGTCGAGTAGTAGTAGTTGTAGTTGTAGTTGTAGTTGTAGTTGTAGTTGTAGTTGTAGTTGTAGTAGTTGTAGTTGTTGTTGTTGTGGTGGTGGTGGAAGGAGAAATTGCACGAGGAGGAGGAGGCGGCGGGGGAGGTAGTGGTGGTGGTGGTGCTGCTGGTGGTAGCAGCAGCAGCGGCAGAAGCAGCAGCAGCCACGTCCGTATCTGACCTGGGAATTTCGCGTGCTTCTGCCGCACTTTTGCCGTGCATACCGTGCAAACGTCCATGTTCTCTTGGGTTAAGAACGTCGAACCCTAAGAACGTTCATTCCTAATTGCGTGCGATCACCAGGGCATCCGTGATCCAAGCATCTTAACGTCGATTCCTAGTTGCCTGCGATCACCAGAGAACTCTCAAATAGCATCCATTCCTCATTGCGTCCGATCACCAGAGCACCCAGGCCAAAGTCTAAAAGCGTGCTCCTAATTGCGTGCGACTACAAGCGCAACCATGCCCAAACCCTAATAATGTTCATTCCTAATGTAATTGCGTGCGACCATCAAAGCTTTCATACCCAAACCCTAACGACGTCCATTCCTAATTGCGTGCGATCACCAAGGCATCTATGCTCAGACCCTAACAACGACCATTCCTGACTGCGTGTGATCACAAAAACATCCACGATCTAACCCTCATAACGTCCTTTCCTAATTTGCGTGCGATCACCAGAGCATCCATGCCCAAACCCTAAGAACGTCCATCCCTAACAACGTGCGATCACAAGAGCACCCGTGCTCAAACCCTAGAACCATCACTTCTTGATTGCGCGCGATGACCAGAGCATCCATGCCCAAGCCCTAAGAATCTTCGTTGTCAACTGCACGCCCTCATTGCGGGCGATCACCAGAGCATCCATGCCCAAATTCTACTAACGTCCATTCCTAATTGCGCGCAATCACCGGAACTTCCATGCCCAACCCCAGCTGCTAACACTGATTCCTGCTTGCGCGCGATCACCAAAGCATCCATGCCCCAACCCTCAAAATCTCCGTTCCCAACTGCGTGCCCTCATTGCGGCGATCACCGGAGCATCCATGCCCAAACCCCACTAATGTCCATTCCGAACTGCATGCGATCACCAGAGCATCCAATGCCCAAACCCTAACAACCGTTCCCAATTTCGTGTGATCACCAGAGCATCCAGGTCCAAACCCTAAAAATCTCCACTCCCAACTGTGCATCCTAATTGCCATCACCAGGGCGTCCATGCCCAAGCCTTGATAATCTCCGTTCCCAACTGCGCGCCCTAATCGCGGACAATCATGAGAGCATCCAATCTCCGTTCCCAACTGCGCCCCCTGATTGCGGAAAACGCGAACACCTCTGTCGTCAAAACATATGTTCTCCTCAAAATCCGGCAAGAGCTGACCAAGCGAAGAGCTGAGTGCAGCAGTGCGCGAGGAACTTGAGAAGCGAAGCCTGGTTCGCGAAGAACTGCCGGAAGTCCTAGCGGCATTCGCTGACTTTCAGAGCTCCAAGGCCCAAGGCCTTTGGGGCAGGGTTGCAAGGCTTTCCGGCCTCCTTGAGGGCCAGTGTACCCAGAATGTCCAGGCCTCGAAGATTGCACAAGCCAGCCAAAGAAGCTTCACGGCGCTATCAAGCCGAGGCGTGGGCACGCGAGCGGGTGCCTGGGCATGACATGCATGAGCCCGGAGTTGATGGCCTCCCGGGTTTTCGAAGACAACTCCCAGAACCCAAACGCACCATGATGCCTTCGGAGACATCCGGAACGTCGAACCGGAGACCTCAAGGGTCCCGAGACTGCAAGAGACTGGCGGCTGGCGTCATGGCACCACTGCCGGTCTCTCGGGGCGTTGGCGCCGTCAGGGTCCACCAGTCTCCGTAGCATACGCAGCGCGAAGGCCTGCCCACTGACACCAGCCATCGCCTGAATGCAAACAAGAGGAGCCCACAAACCTGGAGCTCCGCAGGAACGTGCTCTTGCAGCAGCACCTGGCTTCAACGGCAAAGCGCCATCTTCAAAGCGCTTTGTGGCCCAGGCGGCAGTATACTTCCTGCCTGCACGGACTGCTGCTCGTGCGCATGGGTGGATGATCTAGCCTCAAGAATTCTTGACAGCAAACTAACTCTCAACTGCTGGCCCTCTGCCACGAACCCGTTTTGCAGGTTACATGATCGGAAACCGCTGCCAAGCTTGCACTATGTGGCAAGCGCGCATTCGCGTCTGGGGCCGGAGTTACTCAGAGGCTAAAGCAATCTGCTGCATCATCTCCTCCATCGAATCCAGCATGGCCGACCTCTTCACCACTCTGTACTCTCCCGGACTGCTTGGCACATAGACTACAGTGCTAAGCTACGGAGAGTGCAGACACTTGGTAACCTGCACACTCAAAGCCCACCCCATCACATGTGTGCCTCAGAGCCTCTGGCAGATTCGCCCAGGATGACTGGAGCACCTCAGAGCGGCTCCAAACCATGCAGTCATCGCCTAAATATCCTGGTATGATCAGAAGAATGCTGGCAAACCCCGGCACGAAAGAGCCCGGTTTTCCCGAAGCCCAACGGCCTCGAGGGCTTCCCCGAAGCGAAGGTAGCGGCCCAGCTGTCGGACGAAGGCCGCCCGCGACCGAGGCTCCCCTTTCTGAAGTGCGACCGTCAAGGGTAGAGTGCAGGGAAATACGGCAAGAGAGACAAAGAGAGAGCGAGAGAGATAGATATATATTTTATATATATATATATTATATATATATATATATATATATTATATATATTATATAGTATATATATATACACACACATACATTATATATGTAACAGTCACAGAGAGAGAAAGATGCTCAAGAAACCCTTTAAACAGGGCGTCTGTTATTCGTAGTCCAGCCTCTGAGGCGGACTAGGACTCTGCCCAAGCTGGGTAGCAGATGCCTCGCGCAAAATCGATGTGAGACAAGGGCTTTGTCAGCAGCACGGCGAGGAGTCGTCGAAGGAACTGATTGGACTGGGCCCCCGACAAGGCTCCACCTCTTGCTGCTGACTGCAGTGCCTTCGACAGGACCTGCGACACGGTGCATGATCATGGCCGCATGAAGCTTGAGAACACCAGGACCTCGGCGAACCCGGAGTCTGCTGCCAGTTCATGGAGGGCACCCTGTAAGCCGATGTAAGCCGGAAGCGGATCCAAGGCTCAAGAGACGAGAGACGAGCAGCCTCCTGGCTGCTGACGACCTTGGCCTCCGCCGCGCAACGATGCGCAGGGCTGGCGCGGCACAGCGAGGCTCCGCTCTGGCCTCGAACTCCGACAGGGCCTGGCCCAAGGCAGAGGAGTCCAAACTGAGCTTCCTCTGGTCCAGCCTGGAACACCCGAGCTGAAGAAACATGTGTGGCGGATCGTGGCGGCGTGGCGGCTCTGTTCCAAGGCGGGGGCAAGAGTCGAAGAGTCATCCCTCCAGGTAGAATCGGAGTTGGCGTCCTGGTTCCAAGCCGCGCTTCCGTCATCACGGGTTTCCTTTGTGGTGGCCTCTCAGACAGAGAGCCATTCCTGCCTGGCACACATGCAAACTCTCTTGATCGGTGCTTCTCTGCACGTCTACGATCGCGAAGAGAGAGGGAAGAGAGGGGCAGCCTGACGGAGAGTAGCCTCCGTGCGCGACAGCAGCACCAGCTGACTGCAACCTGCCAGTCGGCAGCCGCCACTCCAGCCGCCAAGAGCGGCACGAGCTGCTGCGTTGCCTGCTTCTTTCGACTTGTGGCTTTCCCTCGCTCCCGCCCGCGCAGCCCGCGCCCAGGCCACCTCCGGGAACCAGCAAAAGAGCGGCGGAGCATCCTGAGGTATCTGAGGTCCTGCTGGGATCTTCGGCCTTCTTTGGCAGTCATGGTGCTCGCACTCCCGACGCCAACCTTCCTCGGTGCCACAGTCACAGCGCCAGTTGTCCTCGTTGAAAACATTTAAGGCACATGCTCCAATGCCTTCCGTGCTGCATATGCCTGAGCAATGCTTTGAACTTCAAAGCAGCCGCGACAGTTCCACAGGTGAGTTTTCTCACTCCTGCGGTGGGTTCTCGGCATTTTGCTTCATCCGGGAGGTGCACCTGGAGTCCTTCCTGATACATGCAATGAACAAGGCTGACTGCGAAACACTCTGGAAACAGGACGGGTTGAGCAGCTTGCGCCAGTTTTTGCATCAGGATGACGGGATGACAGTCCTTCCAGTTCCGCCGAGCGCGCCCGCATCAAGCTCGCCAAAAGCCTCGTCCAACAAAAGCCGTCCTCCAGCACTGGCGCCAGGGCAGTGCCTGCATGCACAGGGAACACAGGTGGAGAGAGAGGGAGACAGGGAGTGAGAGAGAGAGAGACAGAGAAAGTGCTGTTGATGACTGCTAGAGCTGGTCTGAGCCGGTGGGGCGTGCGCAGGTGCTGGTAGAAACTGCTGTGTCCAGTTTGGGCCCACGCCGTGCTGCAACACCAGCTCCAGGAAGAGCTGCATGGTCTTTTCCAGCACCTGTGGCAACAATTCCGATTTAACTTCAAGGCATCACGCAGGGTAAGGTGCCAGGAACTGAGACACCAGGTCTTCGCGGGGAGAGAGGGGAGCGCCTGCAACCATCCCATTTGTGCTTTCCATTCTCTGCGTTATGGTCGCAGAAGAAGATCACCTAGTCCCTGAAGTCTGGTGAAACGAGAGAGAGGACTCAAGAGGGAGCATCCTCGTCCGAAAGGACAAAACACCCGCGGCAGTAGCCAGTCAGCGGCTGGCCCCAAGCCTTTCGAGATACCTGGGAAGGGAATCCGGCGGCCTTTGCTAGCCGAGCAGGAATCCTCAAGTCTTATGAGTCTAATAGCGATCCGATGGCAGGCCTGCTACAGGAAACATCGGCCTGGACCTCCTTGAGCATGCTAGAAGGGCCCAAGGCCGAGAGTGTCAGGGGAGGAGATGGCTCCAGGAGAATCTCAGACGCTTCTGACAGAAGGAGGCAGAAAGCCGAGCGTGGCGCCCAGGCTGGGCAACGGTCCGGCGCAAAGCCCAAGTGTGCACGCTTGGCAGGCCCAGGCGAGCCGACAAGCTGTGGGTCCGAGAAGAAGCGCATCTGCAAGCAAGGGCCCTGAAAGGCCCTGCGTTCCAGGGCCCTCTCAGGGCCCTCTAAGGTGAAGGGCTCCGGCTTCCTTCGGAGTCCCATCATGGCTTTTCAGGGAGCGGCCTGAAAAGGAGGTGGCGAGCTCTGGGCTCTTTGCTTTGGGGAACGCGTCGCCTGATGCGCGTCCGCAAAGCTGTGTTCCGCCATCATTGACATGTAGAAAAGTTCGCTGAATACTTGGTCTGGTGTCGTCCCAGCCCTAGCACGGTACTGGGGAGAGTAGGGGTGGACGCTCGTCGGTCCACGTTCACCCTGGTCCCCACCCCATAAACTGCCGGGCCCTAGGGCCGGGTCTTCCTTTGCGCGGGCAATTCCCAAGCCTTTAGCCTGGAGCCTCACAACCGAAAAGCTGCAGCCGGCCTCGGGATCGGAATCCAGCTTGGTGGAAGGCGAGAGCAAGCCGAGCCTTCCAAAGCAGTCAAAGAGCACTTGACACTTCAAGAACGCCTGTCAAGATCCCGGCAGAACGAAGAGGCCACCAGCTGCGAGGAAGCCCGGCAAGGCTGCACCGTCCTGCCAGGTGGAGAAGAACGGAGGATCAAAGCAAAAGTTCAGTCTCTGCGGTGCATCAAACGCGAGACCAAGTTCGTGTGCTTCACGCCAGTTTATAACGCATCTAGACTCTATACCGCCCGTTGAAAAGGGGCTATCTACTGGCTTATAGGCCAACCCAGCTCAATCCAGCCTGGGCCGGCAGCAGCCTCCTGACAGAGTAATATATCGCTCCCTCTCATGCACGAAAAAGGGACCCTTAGGCCAGAACCCCAGAATGTCCAGGGCATCTGTCCGGACCTTTCAGAGAGGCGTCTCTCCCAGCCGTCCAGGTCTTCAGGAGCCAGCAGAGCCTGAAGGAGCTGTGGACCCCCAAGCATCAGCATGGCCTTGCATTGAAAGCTGCAGCTTGCACTCAAACAACCAGTGAGTGGCGAGGCGCAGGCGAGCAGGATGGACATGGCCTCGGAGCTGGCCTCATGTGCGACGGCGACAAGCACGAAAAGACTGCTTTGTTGGTGTACTTAGTATGGCTCCTCACCATGGGCTTTCAGCGCGGCGTGGCAGACCGTCCGGGCGATGTAGGAAATCTGTGTACAACCCAATTGCCAATGATGCAAGCTAGAAGTCTCGCCTCAACAGCTTGCAAGCGAGGCGTCCGGTCCTGTGCCCGGAAGGATGCGAAGATGCCCCTCACTTCCTCCAAGCCTACAAGTGTCAGCGGGAAAGCTTTCGATGAAGCGACTTGCAGCCTGGGTCTTGTGCTGGGCTTGTCTGGCAACGGTGCGCCCGTCACCTGCCGTGTAGCAGGGGCTCCTGTAACTTCTCTGCCACAATTTCGCACGACCGATGCTCCGCTCGCCTCAGAATCTGCGCGGTGGCAGGTCACCTGCAGGCCCGCAAGCCAGGTCAGGGGGCAGCAGGACACCGCTCTGAAATGCGCACCGTGCTGCCATCGTCGAGCACTTCGCCCACCACGGCTGCCTCGAGCAAAGAACTGGCACGAGCCGAGCAATTGGAACATGTCTTGTCGAAGGCGGGGACTGACAGACGGACGGGGTTTATCCACAGGGATCACGGGCATTGCAGCTGCTGTTCCTCTGTGTGCTCGGGCTTCAGTGGTGTTGCCGAAGGCTCGGTCCGGCTAGGTGCAGCTGCAGCTTGGCTCTCGGCCACCATCCGTGTAGCACTATGTCGCATTAGCTGTAAGCAGCTTTGCCGACTGGGTTGGATACACAGTCATTCCTGTCACACATCACAATGGGAAAAAGCCTTCAATTTACGCTGAATCACACAACCTTGCACGGCGAGCTGTATTTGAGGATGCAGCATCTGTCAAGAAGAAGCCGTCTGCCTCAGTCCAACTGGCCACGAGAAAAGACTCGTGATTTGGGGCAACGTGGCTGAGTTTGGCGCGCTGGCCATGCGGAAAAAGATCACCGGCAACCTTGCCCAAAGCAAGGCATAGTAAAACTCCTTTTCCAAAATGCGCGCCTGCTTGGAAAGACGGACCGGAAGTCTGCTTGGATTCGCTGCCGCAGAGAGGCCTCAACCAAGGAAAACCCTTAGAGTCACAGACAGTTTGATGAGGGCTGAGACAGGACAAGGATCCACCGTGCTCGCAGCATCGATTAACACCACGAAGCGCACCTCCGGCTCACGATTGCTTGCTGTCTTCTTATCCTACGACGGTCATCTGCCTCCTCTTCGGGCCCTGCAAAGGCCACGAAGAGCTTCATTCTGCTCTTCAGGATCACAGGGCATGGCACCCGAACGGAAACCGAACAGCAAGACTCCGCTGTGCTATAGCGGCGCGCGTGGAGCTGCGAGCACTGCTATCGAGCTGGGTCGTGCACCAGCCTGGCTAGATGATGGGGATACTGCACCTGTTCGAAACTACTTCGGTCTCGATTGAACGGCAAGCACCTCAAGACGCTGTCAACTGGAACAACTGGATGTACATGCCATGGGCATCTCAGCATGCGAGCTGCCCTTTTGATCTCGCATTTCTGCGCACTAAGATACATTGGGTGAAATGTCCACAACTCAGGCATGGATCATCTCTCACACATTATGACATTCGTAAAGCTCCTCTTCTGAATGAAACACCGACTGCTCAGGCAAAAGCAACTAACAGGATGCTGTGAGAGGGAGGCCAGTCTGGAACCGGCTCTTCTCCAGCAGCTTTCCAGCTGCAGGCGCTTAATCCGGCATCGGCACTTTGCCGCTTCGCCCTACACATGAACAGCCCTTACATGCCCTTACACTGTCTGCTTCTGGCCTGGGGCCATCAACCGCTGATGGCGCCACATCCCTCCAGTTTGTAGGGCATATTGTCACCACTGCACGGTATGGCCTTGCCAGTGCCTTTCCCATTCTTACATCTGGCTGTGACACTGAACGATGGTCGCTCTAGTGAATAAGTGACGATGTTGTAGTTGGCCTTCTCCGTTGAGCTTGGCTCTATGCACTTTTCTGGCTCACAGCCGCCCACGCTGTACGGTTCGTTTGCTGTTTTGCATTTTGTCACGGTGGCGTTGCCCTTGTAGCCATCAGCGCAGATTGCACCGACGTCAAACTGCTTCCTCAACATGGACCTCTCAAACCTGGACTTCGGGAGGGCCGACTACTAGAGTACCACTACTCACTATACGGCTAGCGTCGAAGCAGAACGGAAAACTACAGCGGCACAGGCAAATCAGGCAAGACACACGACATAGCCCTCATCTGCGGTCTTCTTTGGAGAAGTGCACAAGGAAGGGCAGCCCTCCAGGATGAAGGCTTGGCCATCTTCGGAGCACTTCTTGGCCTTGCCAGTCCCAACTCCATTCTTGCATCTCGCCGTAACGCTGAAGGAGGGGGCATCCGTGCTGTAGATAGTCAAGGCATACGCGGCCCGATCTTCGGCGCTGGGAAGTACACACTTCTTGGGCTCACAGCCACTTAGAACATAAGGCTGTCTGGCCGAAGGACACTTCGCAACTTTTGCAGTGCCCTTGTAATCCGGCATGCACAGGGCATCGACTGTGAACTCGTCCATCACGAGCTTCTTTTCCACCCTGGCGACTAATGATTAGGCAAAGGAAAGGGGAAGACGAGGGAAGCTGGGACACACGATTTCTGGCGTCTATGAAGCCCTACTAAACAAGGCAGGCCACACAGTGTAGCCATCGTCCGCCGCTCGCTTGGGAGAGGCACATGCATCCTTGCAGCCCTGCAGCACAAAGGGCCCACCGTCGTAGGCACACTCGCTGGCTGTTGCGTTGAGGAAGCCGTGCTTGCATCGAGCTGTCACACTAAAGGAGGGCCTCTTCAAAGAGAAGATGGAGTAGTCGTAGTTTGCAGAGTCTTCCACACTCGGTTCCACGCAGGTCTCAGGGACGCAGCCAGTCAAGTTATAAGGCTCGTCTGCTTTCGAGCACTCCGTGACTTTCGCGAAGCCCCTGTAGCCCTTTGCACACTCGGCTGTCACTTCGAAGTTGTGACGCATCTTCGACTGCTCATACCTGAAAGCTATTAGTTACTAGTCTTCCTTTGTCAGCTCTCATGATTTCACGGGTTCACACCTAGCAAGGCGCGGGAACCGAGCTGCTGTAGCCTACGACCGTACCCTGGCACTACCCAACTGCCTGCATCCCCTGAAATCGGAGCTAAAATATAAACAACATGGACGATATTTGAGCTTGACAAAGCACACGATGTATCCGTGGCCCAAGTCCTCTCTCGGGGAAGCGCACTCACCGATGTAACAGCCCTCCAGCGTGTAGGGCTCGCCGTCCTTTGTACATTCTTTGGCTTTGCCATGGCCAATTCCACTGGTGCACTTGAGACCGACGCTGAAGCTGGGCCGCTCCAGTGAGAAGACCGTCAGGTCGTATCCCTCCATATCACGAGCGGTCGGCTCTGTGCATTTCTCTGGCTCGCAGCCACCTAGAGAGTATGGCTCGTCGACGTCCTTGCATACGGCCACCGATGCCTTGCCTTTGTATCCAGCGGCGCACTTCGCCGTCACATCGAAGGAATTCACGATCATCGATGCTTCGTACCTCAGCTCAGGGAGACCTGAGAGTCGCTACGAGTCTGAGGGGAGCAGTGTTTGCAAACAGTGCAAGCAGGTCACACCACATAGCCCCCACTCGCTGCGTTGCTCGGAGAAGTGCACTGTCCGGGAACACATCCCTCCAGGGTGAATTCATCACCATCATCTTTGCACGGGACTGCTCGAACCACCTCACCCTTCTTCTGATGGGTCTTGCATCTAGCAGAGACACTGAAGCTGGGGAGTTCCAGCGAATGCACTGTGAGGTCATAGGATGTCATCTCGACTTCACGCGGCTCTACGCATTTCATGGGTTCACATCCAGACAGGATGTACGGCGTCTGGTCCTCGGCACACATTTCGACCTTGGCATGGCCCTTGTAGCCTTGGGCACAGCGCGCTGTCACCTCGAAGTGGTTCGTTTGTCGAGATCCCTCATACCTCAGAGCCATGTGAGGCTTTTTCAACATGTACTGTCAAGAAACCGGACTCACGAAACTTCCTTCCCTCCACCAAGCTGCACGACATATCCGTCGTCCTTCTTCGCCTTTGGCGACAAACACTCCAGAGGCTTACACCCCTCCAGCCGGTAGGGTTGGCCGTCCTCCTCGCACTGAATGGCCTTCGGGATGCCAGCCTTCTCACCCTTGCAACGAACACCCACGCTGAAGCTGGGCATCTCCAGTGATCGCTCCGTCACCTCATATTGCACGTGCTCCTGGTGTATGTACGTTGGAGCCTTGCATGTCTTGGGCTTGCAGCCGGACAAAGTGTAGGGCCCTTCATCAACTGTGCACGCGGAGGCTTTGGCATGCCCAGTGTAGCCTTTCGCACAGGATGCTTGCACGTTGAAGGAGTTGGACATGATGGACCCCTCGTACCTGAGAGTTTCATGGCAACGGACAAGCTCATGCTCGCATACACAACACATACAAACGCACGAAGACACAGCTTGCGGTGTTCTCACTAAACTGATCTAAGACTAGCCCTCCACTTTAGTTGAAGAGCAACCTTTGACGCCTAAACCGACAGGTCTGAGCAAGCTGCACAACATAGCCGTCGCTCACCCCTCCTTTCGGAGATGTGCACTGCAGTCCCATGCAACCTTCCAGCCCAAACGGCTTGCCATCTCCATCACAGGCTGACGCTTTGGGAGTGCTGGTTTGCCCTCCCTTGCACTGCACCTCTACATCAAAGCTTGGGCGTTCAAGTGAGTTCACCTTGATCTCGTACTTGTGGCTAATCTCGTCCGGCGGTATCGCACACTTCTCGGGCGCGCAGCCTGAGACCGAGTAGGGCTCACCGGCCAAAGTGCACTGAGTCACAATAGGCACACCCGTGTAGCCCTGGCCACATTCGACTTTCACGTCGAAAACGGAAATCAGAAGGTTGCTCTCTGTCCTGAGCTTAGGCTCTGCAGAGGCAGCAGGGAGTACTGCTCACACCTGCACACTGGAAAGACCTAGTGCAGCGATGCAGGCAAGCAGCACCGCATGCCCCTTGGGGATAACGTCTGGCTTGGTGCAGTGCTGCTTGCATCTCGTCAGTGCGTAAGGCTGCCCATCCTTCTTGCAAGCGATGGACTTCGCTGGAGTGCCGACATCAGCACACCGCGCAGTGACGTCATAGCTCGGTAGCTCCAAGGACGTCTCCGTGACCAGGTAGTTCACCAGAGAGTCTGCGTCCGGCGTCGTACACTTCACAGGTACGCAACCGGCTAAGCCGTAGGGCCTGTCGTGCTCGATGCACTCGGTGGCCACAGGCTTGCCAATGTATCCTGCGGCACATTTTGCTGAGACCTGGAACTCGCGCATGAGCCTGGAGTTCTCGGTCCTCAACACATGGCAGTGTCGTGCAAGCGCTTGCAAATTCGGTGATAGCTGATAGCTGCGTCCAAGAAACACAACGTAGCCTTCTGTCTCTGCAGGTGTTGCGCAGACTGGAGGCGCACAACCCTTCAGGGTGTACGCATGGTCATGGTCGGTACACACTTTCGCGGTGCCGGTCCCTCCATACTTGCACCTCAAGGCCGCCGCGGGCGTATGAGCACACTCACTCAAACTCATGAAACACCATGAAGCCACACTTGCTCTAACGTCTTTGACTGACAGTGCGCACACAGTTACATTGGCACCTCACGCCCACTTTGAAGGTCGGGATATCCAAGGAAGACTCTGTGAGGTCATAATCCGTCTTCTCGATTCCGATGGGAGCTTTGCAAGTCTTCGGCTCGCAGCCCGTGAGGGTGAAAGCTTCTCCGGGCTGGGTGCAGCGGTGGACCACCCCAAGTCCCATAAATCCTGCGGAACAATCGGCAGAGACCTTGAAGGATCGGAAGTGCCGGTCCTTCTCGTACCTTGGTCTCATCTGTCTGTGCAACTGCTCTGATTTTCTCTGTCTTGGCTGCTTTGCGGAAGTCAAGCGAAAGGCAGGCACCCCGATCTCTTATGCAGGCAGGGTGCACTGTGTAGCCGGTTTCCTGCGTGCGATCGGGAGACTCACAGGAGGCCTCGTCGCAACCCTTCAGCGTGTAGGGTTCTCCGTCGAAGATGCAAGGGACAACCTCCCCGGCCATGCCTCCCTTCAGACATGTGGCCGACACTCCGAAAGTTGGCTTCTCAAGGGACGTCTCCTTCACCACATAGTCCTTTTTGGCCTCTGCAGTGGGTGCAATGCACTTCATCGGCCTGCAGCCCGAAACGCTGTAGGTCGTCAGTGGCTTCGAGCAGGCGCTGACGACAGGCTTCCCGACATAGTCTGGGGCACAGGACACCTCCGCACCCAAGCTCTATTCAGATTCCTAGACAAGCAAAGCAGACTTGCACCCCTAGTCCAGTGTTTCAAGCGTCACGTGCTTGCGGATGCTTGTCTTTCTACGGACGCCTCCACATCGAAGTCAGGCATCAGGAGGTTCTTCTCATGCCTCGGGTCTCAGGTTTCGGGTCTCAAGGCGAGAGGATAACTAGAACTAGTAGGCAAGCAAAAGACATGCCAGCTGCTGTCTAAACACACGATGTAGCCCTGCTCCACACCCAAGGAGGTGGAGTTGCACTGCAGGAAACAACCCTCCACCTTGAAGGGCTCGAGGTGGTTGGAGCAAGCAGTCACCTTCCCCTCCGTGACTTTCCCGTTGGGACGGTACTTGCACCGTGGCACAACACTGAAGAAGGGCCTCTCGAGGGACTTCACCTCCAAGTCATAAGCCTGTAGCTCCTCCTTGCTAGGCATAACACACTTCGCTGGTTCGCAACCTCGGGCTCATGATGCAATGCCGACGCAGGACAAGCGCAAGAAGACCTATCCAAAAGCCGGTGTCACATAGCTGGCATGGATTACACGGTTATATAATTATATGCAGGAGGATGGAGATCTGATGCTTCTCAAGCGACCGGTGAGGTTGTAGACCTCCTCGTGGGACTCGCAGGGGGTGACCTTGGGCGTGCCGAGGAACTTGTCGAGGCACTCTGCCTTCACGTTGAAGTCTGGCAGCTGCTTCGAATTCTCGAACCTTGGATTCACACAAAACCTGCCGCCCCGCCGCCCCCCCTCAAAAAAACAAGAAAGGAACAACAAATCACTCCTTCCGCCCCATGTCTCACAGCCGAGAAGCACCATGTAGCCGCTGCTGGTGAGGTTTCGTGGCGACTTGCACTCCACAGGCTCACAACCCTGCAAAACTGTTGCATTCACGAAGCTTGTGCTAAATCCTGCCACCCCTGCCCCCGATGTTCCCCTAGTCCCGTGTGTCCTCGATGGCATATGGTAGATTCGGGCCCTTGCAAACGCTCACCTTGGGAGTGCCGAAGTAGCCCGCGGCACACTTCGCTGTGACGCTGAACATGTTGGGCGCCCGATGCAAGTTGCTCTCTGTGATGACATAGCCTTACACAAGTTTCGAATCATTTCGGCACTCTGCATCTACACTCTGACAAAACAACAACGGGCTCCAAGGCAGTCCATGAACCTGCAGTATCATCCCCGACTGGTGAAGCACAGAATTGCTTGGTGCATCCGCCGATTGTGTATGACGTGTTGTGAGCCTCACAGATCTTGACTTCTGGCTTGCCCCCAAAACCGTCCTCGCAGTCTGCATGGACCTCGAAGTCCAGCTTTTGCAGGGATTTCTCAAAGACAATTAAGCCATCTTCACTGCTTCGGGCGGCCGACGTACACTTGAAAGGTACGCAGCCATCGACGGAATACGCCGTGCCGTGCCCGGGGCAGGTCTTCACCGAAGCGGCGCCCGTGTAGTTCTCCGTGCAAGACACCTTCACATCCAACTTCAGCATCTTCAGCGACGTCTCCTTGTCCACGGTGTAGCCGACGAGCTGTGGGGCCGCTGGCTTTGTGCAGAAGGGGATGGAGCAACCCTTCACGGAGTACTTGCTGTACTTTGACGCGCAAACATGGGTAGTAGCATTCCCAAGCGCATCGTCCGTGCATGTGGCCGAGACGTTGAAGGTGGGGACTTCAAGGCTAACCTCTTTGATCTTGTAGGCCACAGTGTCCGAAGCATCTGGCGAAATGCAAGGCTCTGGCTGGCAGCCAGAGAGCTTGTAGCTCTCGTGGTGTGCCATGCAAGGCGCCACCACAGGAGTGCCGTAAAAGCCAGCAGCGCATGTGGCCGTCACCCGGAAGCTCGGTCGCTCGAGAGAGCCTTCAACCACAGTGTAGCCCACAGTACTCGCCGGTGCATTGCAGACTTCTGGCACACAACCATCCAAAGCATAGGGCTTGCCGTCCTCTTGGCAAGCCACAGTCTTTGGCGTGCCCATATACTTATCCGCGCAAGAGGCATCCACCTGGAAGTCCAGCTGAGTCTTTACGTTTTCAACGACAAGGTGGCCAGCCGGCAGCACCGGAGAGGTGCACATGATCTTCCGGCAACCGGCGAAGCTGTAAGGCAGCGCGTGGTTTTTGCACACGCCGACCTTGGGAGAACCAGTGTAACCCTCATCACAGCCGATGTCCACCTGGAAAGTTGTAATTTGAAGTGACTCTTCGGCAAAGACCTTGTAGCCTGTTGGAGGGTCTTTGCTCATGGACTCGCACACTTCATGTTCGCAACCCTCAAGCTTGTAATACTCTCCGTGCTTGGTGCAAGGCCGCACGCTGATCTTGCCCTTGGGAACGGTAGACTCGTTCATGTAGCCGGGATGGCAGTGGGCATTGATGGTGAAGCTCGGCACCTCCAAAGAGCCTTCCTTGACCAAAACGATGTCTCGCGGCACATTGCCGATGCGGGATTTGCAGACCTTCACGCTGCACCCTTCCAGGGTGTACGGCAGCCCCTCGCTTTTGCAGGCCTTGGCCACAGGAGTGCCGTAGTAGCCGGCAGCACACTCGGTCTTCACTCCAAAGCTGAGCTGCTCCAAGGAAGTCTCGGCCTTGACGATGTATCCAGTGGGTGGGGCCAGTGCCATGGAGGCGCAGACAATGGGATGGCACCCGGTCAAAGTGTAAGCCGTCTGGTGCGAGCTGCAGGAAGCCACCTGAGCTGTTCCGTGGTAGCCTGGCGCACAGCTGGCTTTCACGCCGAAGCTATGCACTGTGAGCGACGACTCCGCGTTCACCACATACCCTTCTGGAGGAGTGTCTTTCAGGGAAGTGCAGACCATGGGCGCGCAGCCCGACAGTGTGAAAGGCTTCCTATGCTCGGAGCAAGGCTCAACGACCACTTCGCCGTACCATCCGGCCGCACACTTGGCGCTGACGTTCCAGCTTGTGAGTCTCCGGGAGGACTCGTGGACAATGGCAAAACCCTTAGAGGTCTGGGCCGTGCTGCATTCAATCTCATGGCAGCCACCGAAAGTGTATGGCCTCCCGTGTGCGGTGCAGCGTGTGACACTGGGGGTCCCAGTGTAGCCGGCTGCACAGTCGATTTCGACACTGAAGTGGGGCCTGGTCAAGGAGGCTACAGTGATGGAATAGCCCTCCTTCTCTGCATCTGTGGGCTCTGTGCAGGTCTCAGGCTTGCAGCCCGACACTGTGAAGGGGAGGTCATGACCACTGCAGGCCGAGACAACCGGGCTTCCCATGTAGTCCACGGCACATGTCGCGGAGACATCAAAGCTTGGCCTTTCCAGCGACTTCTCTGTGACCACATAGCCCTCGGTAGCACCCTTCGAAGGCTTGGTGCAAAGCTGGGGAAAGCAGCCATGCAGGGTGTAGGGCTCGTCGGCTTTGGAACAATCCGTCACACTCGCAGTTCCTGTGTAGTTCAAAGCACATTTGACGTCCACATTGAAGCTGCGCATCTCAAGGGACTTCTCCTCAGTAATTGTGTAAGCCTTGACGTTTGGAGGTCTGGAGCAAACAGAAGGCTTGCAACCGGACAAGTTGAAGACCCGGTCATGCTGCGCACAGGCTGTCACCACAGGAGAACCCTCGTAAAGCCGGGCACATTTGGCGGTTACCGCGAAAGTCGGTCGCTGCAGCGACTCCACTTGGGTGACGTAACCTCGGCGCACGCAAACCCTGCAGACCCTGGGTCTTCCTACACCCGGCATCGCTAATGCAGTGCACCGAGGCAAGGACCGACCACATCCAGCGGCTCGAGACATGTTTGCGGGGAGCAACCCGAGAGGACATACTCGCCAAGGTGGTCCGGGCAGGCAGCGGCCGCCGGTGTGCCCATGTACTTGTCTGCACATTCTACGGAAACATCCAACGTGGGCATGTCCAATGAAGCCTCCTTAACAATGGAGTAGCCCACCTTGCTCTTCGGTGCAACGCACTTCTTCGGTTCACAGCCAGAGACACTGTAGGAGCCGCTTTGAGTGGAGCAAGCCGTGGCACCAGGATCTCCCATGTAGCCAGAGGCACACTCGACGTCGACTTGGAAGTCCGGAACCTCCAAGTTCTCGGATGTGATCGTGTAGCCCGTCGGCGCAGATGCCATGTGAGATGCACATGTCATTGGCTCACAGCCAGACAGGACGTACTCCCCATCATCATCATCGCACTCTTCTACCAGTGCTTCGCCAACGTAGTTCTTCGAGCAGCTAGCCTTCACGACAAACCCAGGGATTTCAAGATCGATTTCGTTGATTTCGTACCCAACCTGCTTCTGAGCAGAAGGGCTGATACAGTACTCACGATGTGTACAGCCGTGAAGTTCGTAAGGCTCGTTCATCTTCTTGCAAACATGTGCTGTCGGGTCGCCCTTGAAGGACTCGTGACATTTGACGTTGATCTCGAAGCTACGCATGCTGGTGGAGACCTCTGTCACGTCATAACCGTGGCCCTTGATTTTCTTCGAGGTAGAGCAGTGCTTTTCGACACATCCAGTCAGTCCGTATGGAGTGTTGTGCACCGAACAAGGTGTGACCTTTGGCGTGCCCGCGAAGAAATCGTCACAAGCTGCAGAAACATTCCACTGGTAGATTGCCCTGGAAAGCTCAGTTACCTGATATCCATCCATGCTGATCGGAGTAGAACAAACGATCGGGAAGCAGCCCAGGAGCGTGTACGGAGCACCAGAAATCGAGCAGACTGTCGCCTTTGGCGAGCCATAAAAGCCAGGAGCGCAGGCTACCTTGACGCTAAAGGCAGCGGTCTGGTTCAGGGACTCCTCAGTCACATCGTATCCTTCTAACTTTGGAGTGATGCAGATCTTCTCCGCCACCTGGTCGATGGCCATGTCTGCCATTGCCGCAGCCTGATCATCCGACATGCCATGGGCTTTCGCCACCTTGAGGATGACGTGCCGGACAAGCGCCAGGGCTTTGGGCTCGTTCAGACCCTTCTCCTTGCCAAGCTCCACGGTGTGTCGTGCTGCCCAGAGGACCTGAAAACTCAGGGGCTGAGCTGAGCGCTGCTTCTGCAACATTATGCTACCTCGCCCACGCTCTCGGACAACCTACCCTGTGCCCTTCGCGAAACCCCTTATGACGCTTGGGCGAGCTTTGACATCGTGAGGCACAAGAATGCATTGTCATGCCTCATGCTCCCATTGTCCGTGTTCTGGCATTCAAGTTGTCTGCTGTTCTCACGATCATTCCCGCCCCATGTCACACGACGGCCCGAACAAAGCAGTGCTGCCAGGCTCGGGCATTCTAGTTGTAAAGAGTGGGAAAGCTAGCGGCAGTGATGCCAATGACGCTGGCTTGTCGTCCCATGGCCAATTCCAAAGTCCCAACCCCGACGCC